TAACCTCCGATGCTGGCACCAATGGTGCCCCACCGAAGGTCGGTAGCGGGAATCCCACCCCCAAACCGCTCCAACTCAGGCACAGGACCTCCGTCTTCGCCGGATTCAGTCTCAGCCGGCTCAGCCTAAGCCAACCAGCCATGGCTTGCAAAGCCCGGTCCAGATCTTCCGGTCTGGAGGTCGACTGGCTGTCCAACATCAGATAGAGCTATGCCTCTTTTTTTTTACTGTTGGTTTAGGGTTGCTAGCCTCCAGGTGAGGCCTGGGGATCTCCTGCTTTTACAACTGATCTCCAGCTGACAGAGATCAGGTCCCCTGGAGAAAATGGCTGCTTTGAAGGGTGGACTCTATGGCATTGTACCATGCTTAGGCCCCTCCCGAAACCCCACCCTCCCCAGGATCCACCCAGGTATTTTCCAACCCAGACCTGGCAACCCTAGTCGGGTTGGAAATGTGGCCATTTTGGGATTTGCCTAGGCATATCAAGCACTGGTGCTAATGACTAAGCGTGTCAGCTGGAAAATCCCTAAATGAAATCTCACCTCCTCCAGAAACTCATTCGGTGGCCTGAGGCAAACAGGCTTTTTGTTACAGAGATAATAATACTGATGGGCCTTGCAGAGCCCTTGTAAGCATTATTAAAAGAATCATGGGTGCCCTTTGAATACTGAAAGTGCTCTATAAATACAGCGTATTAATAGGTTTAAAGCTGAATTTCTCCTTCATTTCAACCATTTTACTCATGCATCTTGTTTTTGCAAACACAGGCAAGCATTTCGCCAGGGAGATCCTCAAGTCTTCACGCTCCTGTTCTGGCCTATTTGTCAAGGCATGATGGGGTTGTAGTCTGGGCATGTTCTGAACCCAGGCCAATGATTGCTTCAGCCTGTGCTCAACCCCTGAAGAAAGAAAAATCAGTTCATGTGAGTTGTGTGTCTGTGAAGACTGGCTCTTGGGTTGTCTTTTCCTTTGCAGTTTAATGTCCCCCTCTTGTTTTCTTCTGAATCAGTTTGTCTCACCTTTTCAGTGGAAAAGGTTTCATTTGGGATATTTTCCTCTCTCTTTTTAGATTCCATGCCCCTTATTTATTTATTATTTATTGAAATATTAGTACCTTACCATTACTTCTATATGTGTATTCTTATTTTCTCTCTCACCAAGGAGTCAAAGTAGGTTTTCACATAGTTCCTCCCTCCTCCACAATCCGCACAACAACTCTGTGAGGGCAGGTTAGGCTAAGAGATTGTGACAGGCCCAAGATCATCTTGTGGGCTTCCACAGTCAAGCAGGAGATTAGAACCCTGTTAGTCCTTGATCTTGGTCCTACGCTTCATCCACTAAACCACACCAGCCCTCGCTCAGGGTTCAAGGTGGTTTCCTTCACCCCCCATTTCCTTCACTCACCCTGAGGAAGTGTACATGCACACGAAAGCTCATATCTTGAATCAAACTTTGTTGGTCTTAAAGGTGCCACTGGACTCAAACTTTGTCTCACCCACCCACTATCTAAGATATCAGTAGACAAAGAGATTTAAGTATTAAAGAGCTGAAAAGGCCCCATGGTTTAAACATCTGTGTTTGCATATATTTAAAGTTAAATTGCAACACAAGAAGCAAACACACCAGATAGAAGGGAAAAAAGAGTTTAAAGAGCATTTGTTGCAGTTACAGTTTTATACCTCATAACAACATAGTGATTTATCATCTGAGGTAAAACAATCCCCCTTGTGTTAAAACAAGGTGATTTAGACAAGCACATATATTCTACAGGGCCATTTATTTGTCATTTTTATGAGTGTTGGCCTTGGACCGGGGAAACCTGGGTTGGGCTCATATCCCACTCAGAAAAGAAATCTGGGCCAGTTATTCTCTCTCAGCCTAACCTACCTCATAGGGTTGCTGTGAGGATCAAAGAAGAGGAGGGGCGAATCAAGTGCAGTGCTAGCGTGGAGCAGTCATTCAAGTGTCGGACTAGTATCTGGGAAACCCAGCTTCAAATCCCTACTCTGCCATGGAAGCTTGCTGGGTGACCTTGGGCCTGTCACAGCCTGACCTACCTCATAGGGTTGTTGTAAATAAATAAATGTACACTGCCTGGAGCTCCTTGGAAGAAGACCAAGATTTTTAAAAATGCCCAAAGTGTGTAGGTTCTCAGTGAACTCCCTGACATGCTCTGCTTTTCTCTTTAGTCTGGAGAGCTCTGTTGGAGGGCTGGTGGTGTTGACTGAAGCCATCCTCCCTTGCCAGTGCCAGGCTCAGCCAGCCATCTGTTGTGCTGGCACTATCAACAGATGGGTCCAGACAGTGGCTGGGAATAGAGGAGCCACCCAGCCTGTGAAGGTCGAGGGACTTTCCCAGAGCGCCACACATCAGGTCGGTGTTTTTATTATCCACTAATCAATAACAAGCCTAACCCAGGCGAGGCCTGCGGTGCACAGGATTACTCCCCTGCTGAGCTGGTCAGGCTTCAAGCCCTCTTTATCTCACTGACTACGCTCCCTTCCTTTCTGATGAAACGATCTCGCGCCCCCGCGCGCGCCCCCCCCCCCCCCCCCCGCTTCCTGATGCAATCCCCGCAGCAGTTTACACCGACCGACTGCGGACACGGAGGACGCTAGGGCCGCGCGGATGCCTCCGTGTGAGCTCCGGCTGGAGCTGGCCCCTTCGCCCGGAGGAGCCGGGTCTTTACGTGCGGAGCCCGCCCTCTGTCCCGCCCTCCCTCCTCCTCCTGCCGGGCAATTGCGGCTAGGCGCGCTTATCAGCTCCGCGGGGGGGTTGTCAGTCGGCGGCGCACGGAGCCGCAGTCCCGGAATGATTCTGAAACAGACCCGGCGTGATCCACGAACCACTTGAACCCCGGGGACTCCGCTAAGCCCCGACTGCGGTTGGAAGGGATGCGCGGATCGCAGTTGTGCTACAACTCCCCCGGTGTCTGGCTTGGTGCTGGGGAACAAACCGAGGGGTTGCGATGAAAGCCCTCCTCCCAGAGTCGGGATTCCTGAGCTTTGCGAATAAGGCCAAATAAAAGAGAGGCGCCCCCCCCCCACTCTCCAGCAACCGGAGAAAGAGATTGTGCCTCTCCTTCAGTGGGTGCCCTTTAAATGTAACGCGATCACCAGCCGCCGACGCGACTGTTGCGGTTGCTGCCAATACACTTGTGAACGGAAAGGACTAGAAACTTCTGGTGCGTCCCCCCCCCCTTCCAATTTCCACCGGAGGAGGCTGTGAGTTCAAGGGTGGGTCGGTTAATCCGCCACCGGAGGGCCGTCTTCTCCTCGGCTTCGCAGAGTGCGGTCTGATGCAGAGCGTTTCCAGTCGGCACCCTCGCGTTTGGGCTGGTATCTAGACTGGCGTCCTTCTGCACAGGACTGCAGGATAAGGAGACGAACCTAAAGCCGCACGCAAACCCCTCTGGGCCCAGTGGGGGACGTACCTCTTGAGCAAGCACGCGGAGTGCACACGAGTAAACCCGAAATGCTCAAGCCGCAAAGATCTAGCCCGACTTTAATAAGCACCGTTTAGACGTGCAAAAGTCACCTCGGTGAGGTTTTGGAACCCGCACACACGCTCTTTCCCAAGTGACGCGTTTCTAATGGGCCTCGGGGTGTGAGAAGCGGGGGTCCCTCGCAGGGGGGACGGCGACGGCAGGTCAGGCGACAAGCAGCTTGGGAAAAGGGAGCGCGGGCCGGCGTGGCTCAACACGCCAGCCCTGCCCCGGTTTTCTTGCTGAGCAGGGTGAGGCCTCCGGCTCGGTTTTTTGCAACTTCGCGCCCCCGAAACGAAGGTGCTCGTCTTCAAGGGCCCCCGTCAACAGTCTGCGGGCTCATGTAGCTGCGTGGGAGCCTGGGAGCCACCCAGAGGACGGCGGGGCTACTAGGCCGCCAGTGGCTCTCCATCCTGGAAACTGCCTTGTGAACGTTGACAGGCTCATCCTAAAGGTTCCTTCCACAGGCACACCAGACCAGCCTGACCTGATCAGATCTCGGAAGCTTTACAGGGTCGGCCCTGGTAAGTATTTGGATGGGAGACCATCCGGGGGGGAAGTCCAGGATCGCTGCACACGGGCAGGCTATGGCCAGTTAACTCGGAACATCTCTTGCCGTGACAACCCCACGGTGTCGCCGTAAATCGGCTTCGAGTTCAGGGCACTTTCCACCACCAAATCCCAGTGAAATCCTAAAGAAATGCACAAACATGACCACGATGTTTAGCGGGAAAATAATTCCCCCCCCCCAAAAAAAAAATTGGGAACCATTTCCATCAGGATCGGAATTAGGCCACACTTATATGGGAGCAGGAAAATAAAAAAGGCAGACAGCGGCTTTGATCCACAGCAAAATCCCCAAAGGCCAGGCGAGACCCTTCTTCATTCACCTCGAGGCTGCAGCGATCTTTCTTGGTTTGTTTTTTTGGCCCCCGCCGAGCCTGACGAGGAGCTCTTGAGAACTCCCAAGTTTGCGCGCTGCATTTGCTGTTGGGGAGGGATTGCTTTTGTCTTTGAAATTTACTTGGGAGTCAGACCCATTGAACTCCACGGGCTGTGCTTCTGAGTAAGCCTGCATTCGACAGACAGGCGAGGTTTAGAAGAGTACCCCGTGGTTCCGTGTGTGTCCCCCCCCTCCTCCTCCTCCTCCTGCCGCTGCTGGAATCTCTGCGAGATTGCGCCGCACTTTCATCACCCCTCCCCCCATTGTTCCGCGGGCCTCCTTTCCAGGCCTCGCTCGCCTCCTTCCTGCTCCGTCCCCGCCGCCGCAGCTTTCGCTCCAGCCCCCGCGCAGAACAAAAAGGGGTGTGTCGCAAGGCTGCTGTAACCGGGCAGGAGAGAACGTTGCGAACGTGCGCTCGCTTGCCATTGGCCCAGCCCCGCTATTCCTTCTGGCCAGTGAGCGGCGGCCGAGCCCGCGAGCCCACGGGGCGAGCGCCGCCAGGGGGCGGGGCTCTCCCTGACCTGAGTATTTAATCGGCGGGGCAACGAGCTGCAGGCTCAGTCTCAAGGAAAGGGGAGTGTGTGGATTGTTGGTGCTTGTACGGTACCTCTAGACCTGCGTTTTCGCTGCTACGCCTGAGCAGTCCTGTATTTGCTGCTCTCTGTCTTTCTGTTGCCGTCTCGGACCCCGTAAGTATGCGTTGGTTTATGCAGAAAAATCTGATCTGTGGTTTCCCCTCCACCCCGCAGCGGCGTTTAAGCCGGCGTGCAGAACTGCTTATGCCGTTTGGCGCCGCAGTCTTCTAATGGGGCTTTGCACCGATCTTGTTCGGTGTTAGCCGGGCTCGCCGACTGGTTCAGTGTTCGGGTCCTTCATGTGTGTGTGTTTCTTTGCCCCCTGCAGAGACCCTTCGACCCGGCCGCCAGTCATTCGGTGACCAGGGGTGGAAGCGACCGTCGACTGCCGGGGGGCGAAGATGCCGGTCTTATGGGACAGCTTCTCCGCTTCGCTGCCTCCCATTCCGGAGCAAAGAGAGAACCAGTCCTCCTTCGCTTGGGAGGAGAGCGCTTACCCAGAAGTCGCCAGTCGCGCGGCTGGGCTGGAGAGTTCGGACTGCGAATCGCTGGATAGCAGCTTGAGCTCCGAAGGAGGTGAGATGGGGGGCGGTGGAGGAGGCGTCTTTGAAGCAGAACGGGCCTCTGAGGCTGTAG